AGCCCCCCGAGAAAGGACACACTTGTGAGGGCTCTAGGTCAGCTCTGGGCAGTGCCTTATAGATGTGGTCCCTCCAGTAACTCTGTAAATGTGTGTTGAGGGGCTCAAAGAGTTTGAATCCACTGGGAAAGACCAAAGACACACCCAGTTCAGATTTAGATTAAATGAATTTATTCTTACTGCTAGCAGAAGGACAACAGCCGTAGAGCCAAATCAGGTGCTTGTGTGCCAAAAGGGGCTAAGGAAGGGTTTATAAAGGTGGACATCACAGTTTTCTCAGGCTCTATGGAATCCACAGCTGGAGGAGAAGACGGCTTCCCTCCCATCGGTAGTTTGTCATCCCCCATTGTACAGTGATAAAGAGATCTTCATCCCAGACCCAGAGCCATAAGTACCAAAGCCAGAGCAAACTGCTTAATTACTTCTTATCTTACATGGCTAGCACCTGCAGGCCGCTAGGATCTCCCTGGCATTTCAGGACAAAGGTCAACAGCTTTTAGGGGTACCTGGTGCTGGTTTAGATTCCTTATCCATCACAGACGAAATACTGTATAAGTCATCAGCAAACCAGACCACCCAGGGAAAATGGAAAGAAGTATCCTTAACGACTGGGCTATCCCCACCCTTACCCCCAGGCAGTTTAGGTTAGGGCTGGCTGTCACTCACAGTCCTGCAATGCTGAGCACTGGGCTAGAGGGATCGGTGATTACAGACCCAGCTGTAGTTGTTTTCTCTTCCTTCCCACCCCTCTTCTTTTTGAGACAGAATCTTTTCAGCTGGCTCAAACTCACTGATAGCTGAAGCTGGCCTTTACTAATCTTTCCTCTTCCCCTTCCTCTTTCCTCTACCTCTTCCTTCCTCGTGCTAGAAATTACAGCATATGCTACCAGACCCTGCTCAAAATCCACACGATTCCTGGGTTGTTGCTGTTGTTTGGTTGATTTTGTTTTTTGTTTTTTTTTTTAAAATGAAGCATCGATATTTAAACCAAGTTCTTGTCAGCCAAGCACTCCACCTCAGGACTACTTCCCAAGCCCTGTGACTCAGGGAAGACAGCAGGGGAGTGAGCAGTTGCTGTGGCATGTGCCAAGTCCAAGTGAAATATGTGGAGGGGTTGTGAGCCCTCGGCCATGGATCCCTGCGGAGGCTTGAGCTCCAGCTGCTCTGAGTTCCTGTGCTCTTGTGATGGGAACAGCTGGCAGCAGCTGCTGCAGCCAAGGCATGCGCTCCTTCACCTTCCTGTCCCCTGTGCTTCAGAGGAATAGAAGGAACTCTTCCTCACAATACAAGGATGGCCCAGGACTGGGAATCCCAGCTACGGGGATGGGTGACTTGGAATCTCAAGTCACCAGTGGATTTTCTGTTGGTTTGTTTTTATAGTGTTTATTGTGATGTTCTTCCTTCTCCAGTTACAAACTTCGAACATATTTAAGGAAGGAAAACTAGATGGTGCAGAAAAATATTTAAATCACTACTCCGTGGTTCCACTCCGTGGTGTCTAAGTTCCCCTTTACCCTCCTCTCCTCACACTGTCATGCATGTTTCTCCCTGGGCCTAGTGTCCTGTGCATTTGTGTATCTTGGAGGCATGCATGTTCTGGTATTGTTCACATACAGGCAGAACTACCATCTGAGTGGGCAGGGGCTGCCACCTCCATTTGTCCTGCCCTGCTGGTCAAAATCTGGGTGGTAGGCCTCCTGAATGGTGCTGTGGTGAGAATATGAAGGGGGTAAGACTTAAATTTTTAGTTATTTTAATTTGTTTTGAGACTGAGTCTCACTATGTAGCCCTGGCTGGCCTGGAATTTGATGTGTAGACCAGGCTAGGCTCAAATTCAAATCCCTGTGCTGGAATTAAAGGCATGCACTCCTGGCCCTGTCCAAGATCTTTTAAAAAAACTTCTTGGGCTGAAGAAATGGCTCAGCCATTAAAGCCATTAAATGACTCACAACCAAAAATATAAAAAAGCTTTTACACACACACACACACACACACACACACACACACACAGAGTCACCAGCCAAGATGGTCGCTAACTATAGGGTTACTGAAAAATTTTGAATGATGACTTAGAAAGTATCTGGATCATAGCTTTATTCCGCCCCCATCTCTCTCTCACACACACAAACACACATATACATATAGAAGGCACACACATAAATAAAATTAGCAGTTAAATGTACAAAAAAGTAACACAACAAGAAATTAAAAACAAACAAACAAAAAAACCTTCCTGGGGTTAAAGAAATAAAAGGAAGCCAGGCGTGATGTACGCCTTTAATCCCACCACTCGGGAGGCAGAGGCAGGTGGAACTCTGAGTTGGAGGCAGCCTGGTTAAGGTTGTGATTTCCAGGGCTATGTAGAGAGACCCCATCTCAACTAAATAAATGAATAGAAAAAGAAATAAATATAAGCATAAATATAATTAACTCAGAATGAAACTAATGTGTGAGTATGTGTTGAAGCCCATGAGGTCAGAAGAGGGTGTCACATTCCTTGAAACTGGAGTTATATGCATACTGGCTTTTGTGAGCTACCTAATATGTGTGCCAGGATCTGAACATAATTACTGAGCCAGCCTCCCAAGAATAAGATTTCTAATTTCCTACAGTCTGATAGAGGAATAAATGCTCAATTACAAAAAGACCCTGTTTTGACAGGCAGTGGTGGTGCACACCTTTAATCCCAGCACCTGGAAGGCAGAGGCAGGTGGATCTCAGTGAGTTTGAGGCCAACCTGGTCTACAGAGTGAGCTCCAGGACAGCCAGAACTGTTTCACAGAGAAACCCTATCTCAACCCTGCCCCCACCCCGCAAACCTTGTTTCCCCCAAAAAACCAAAAAAACAAAAATAACCTTGTTGTCATGTGTCCCAAGAGAGGCCCAGAGAGTGACGGCAAGCCTGGGAAGACAGGAGCTGCAGCGTTGAAGCCTCCCTTTCAGTTCATGTTGATAACATTTTCATGTGGTCAGCCAGTATTCATTCATTGCCTGCACTGGGCGTGGTGAGAGAGGAATAGTGTAAGAGAAAACAGGAGTGGCCCTTCCCAAATTAATTCACCCAGAGCAAGAATAGGTGTTCGGACTGCTTGAACACGCTGAGATACAGGAGAGTGTGTGCCAGGGCTTCCTCAAAGAGGTGGTGTTTATATGGTGTCAGGAGGCATTGATGCCGAGAGCTGAGGGGTAAGGTTAAGGTCATGGAGCCTGAAGACTAACCCAGGCAGGGAGAGGAGCACCCGAGCAAAAACGATTAGAGGCGGGAAGCCTGCAGAATGTTAGGGAAACTGAACCGAGGCTGGTGTAGGCAGAGCATAGGGAGGGGAACGAGACTGCTGAAGTTTACAGCACAGCGGGGCCTGAACATGGGGCCTACTATATGGTGGCTGCTGCCATGAAGAAGCATGGAGGACAGAGGTTGAGTGTGGTGAGGGATATGTGAAGATGGGAGGTGTCATTGCTGTTTTGTTGAAATCTTTATTATCAATTAAAAAAAGGTTAGAAGCAAAGCCCTGAAGCAGAGGAGAGAAGAGGCCCTCCAGGGAACTCTGGAAGGCTGATGCAGTTAGGCAGTTCTCTTGGCAACTATGGTGAGCACTTGGCATCTTTCACTCTTAATTTCTATCATTTCCTCTGCTTTCTCCTCTGTCTAAATGATTCAAACAGGGCTGGAGAGATGGCTCAGTAGTTAAGAGCACAGTCTGATCTTCTAGAGGTCCTGAGTTCAATTCCCAGCAACAATATGGTGGCTCACAACCATCTGTAATGAGATCTGATGCCCTCTTCTGGCATGCAAACAGACATGCAGACAGGACACTGTATACATAATAAATAAAATCTTTTATAAAATGATTCAAACAGTATTCACATTTCTCTCTCTTATCTGGGTTCCTGTGGGATATGGAAGCTAGAGCATCTGCTGGGAGCAGCCAGTGAGCAGATGCGATGGTCTGAAGCATCCTCTTCCCAGAGGCCAGCCACTCCCAGGGCTGGATGGAATGGGCTTCCCCGAAGGGAGGGAGTTTATTTTGTAGGCTTTATTTATTGAGTAGGCAGGCTCTCACTTTGTAGCCTTGCTGACCCTAAGTTCACAGAAGTCTGCATGCCAACACAGAGAATTCCAGCTAGGCAGGAACATGCCTCAAAAAACCAAAACAGAACAGTGGAATGGAAGCCCTTTTCTGTTTTGGTCCTTACCACCACCACTCCACACCTGCCCCAAAGAGTAAGAACAAACGCCTCTTATTGTTCCACGTGCAGGTAGCTGTGTGCATCACACAGCTCTCACCTCACACTGAGGAGGAGATTGTAGGGCCAGTTGGAGCTACATAGGAAGATTGTCCCCCACAAAAGTGCAGCAGTAATATATGCAATTTCACAATTTTTTTTACTTAATATATGCAATTTTAATTTTTTTTTCTTCCTGCTATCTTGGAAGTAGCTCTGTAAACCAGACTGGTCTCAAATTCAGAGATCTGTCTGCCTCTGCCTTCTGAGTACTGGGATTAAAGTCGTGAGCCACCACTGCCAGGCTACAATATTCTTTTGAACAATTAAACATAAACTTCTTTCCATGTCAGTTCTTTATACTTCGAAATGGCTGTGTGGTGTTTTGGCATACTGGTACCCAGGAATATAACTCCATCCCATACAGACAGTTAACTCTTCACTGCATCCTTTACTTGTTGGAGTATATCTCTGGTACTCAGGAATATAACTCCATCCCATATAGACAGTTAACTCCACACAGCATCCTTTACTCACTGGAGTATATCTTTGGTACCCAGGAATTTAACTCCATCCCATACAGACAGTTAATTCCACACAGTATCTTTTACTTGTTGGAGTGTATCTCTGGACCTATTCCTGACCTCTGGGTTCACACAAAGGTGCTCATTCCATGTTAACAGATAATGCAAGCTTGTCTTCCCAAAAGCTGCTCCAGTTTTAGCCAGAGTGTGCCTGGCTCTAATCTTGTTTTCTTTTCTTCTGGTTTCTAGACTTCCACACTGGTTAATCAAGAGTGAAAAACCTGAAGCAATGCAAGCAGGAAGAAGAAATTAAACTAGGTGGGTAGCTGTGCAGTTCACATTTCTGTGCCATCACATCCCGAGTTTGCCTACACGTCTTCTCTCTTTTTCTTGCTTGAAATAAAATCAATGGGTTCTAAATGAAGTTCGAGGGGAATTTTGGTCGCCTAAAGAAAAGGCAGGGTGGCTCTTAGCAGCAGTTATATAATGGCATGCTTCAGTGTCACAGGCCTGGTCGCTATCCAGACGGTTTCTTCACAGCATTGGAAAGACAGCTTCCTTCCTGTGCCTTAGCAGGTTTCTTCAGCCATATACCCAAACAGATGGAGTCATCTATAGCTGGTTAGCAGCTATAGGTGTGGCGCCAACTTTCCCTGCATGTGTCTGTTAGAAAGAAATGTTCACAACACCCAGGGCATGGTATGGGAATTGTCACTTTAAGACTTTGTTAGAATTACCAAAACAAGCAAAGCCTAGCCCAAAGAAATGGGCACAGCCAGCAGTCTTGTGAGAAGGGATGGGGCAGGCACCTCCCACTTGGAAACAAATTGCATATACAGTGTGAACATGTTGCTTGGAAGTGTGCTTCCTAGGTTCAGTGGTCATAGTTTTATGTTAGCCAAGGATTCTGGCATAGAAGTACATGGTCTAAACCAGGTGGCATGACTGTTGGGTCCTTCCTTCCTTCCTTCCTTCCTTCCTTCCTTCCTTCCTTCCTTCC